TCTGATGAAGTCTCATGTGTATCAGTACTGATAAATGATCAGAATTAAATATTTTTGACTGTCTGAGGCTAAATTGAATCAAATCAGGACTTTGAGAAGTGGAATCGAATGGATTATAGAAATCAGTGATGATACCCAGCCCTAGTGAGCAGCCTAGGCCTGAGAGAAGTGGATGTAGCTGTGGGTAATAAGAAAAGATGTAAGAACGATTGATAACTTTTCTTTAAGGCCTGATCTGTCTGAAATTCATAGCCAGCTCTGACACGGTGCCATCAGTCTTTGAATGCTGAAAAAGCAGCAGTGTATACAGAAAAACACATTATATGCTGCAATAAATGCACTGCCCAAGTGTGCCTCTCCCCACTGCCTTTCAGCAGCAGACAACAGCAAACAGGTCGTCAGAGGAGGCCGAGATGATGATTAAGTTTAACATTTTCTACAATATTGCCAAAGCACTTTAAGCTCAAGTTTGTTAGTTAATAATTTAGAAATGAATATTGTCTGTTTGGACTGCAACTTTCCCCCAAAGAAAGTGCACATGTAAAACTGCGGTGTTAAGCGATGCGGTTGAAAAATTTGAGTGCGCCTAACTTTTGTGCCGGTGCGCCTAAATTTTTAAAGTTAGGCGCACCGGTGCGCCCATGTCTAAAAGTTAGTCTAGAGCCCTGTTTTTAGATAAAACCACAAAGTAACAGTAACATACTCAGAAAAGAAACCAGGAAGAAAGGGTTAGGGTTTGTTGAGACACATTTAAACTGTCATGATTATTATTTCATGTGGTTTTGTTTTGTTTACATACACTTTTAGATGACTTATTCTAATGAATGTTATTTGTTTTTGCAGTTATGGGGTGGGGGTCATGTTTAGCTGCTCTACTTCTGGTTTCTGTCAAGAATCAAAGCGGAGAAGTTAAGAGTCTGCTAAAGTGTGCATGCAATAGCACATTTTTTCTTTTGAACACTTTTTATTTTGCAAATGGTCTTATTATTTTTTGGTTTTGTGAGCGAGGTATCTTTATTTATGTGTGCTTTGATGGATGGTATTTACAGTTTGATTTTGTCACGATCTGTGACAGAAAGAAAAATTGGGGCTCTATACAAGGGCAGTTAAATAATATAATAAATAAATAAGGGTGGAGGCGCTTTGGTCATTTAGAACGGGGATGGTAATTCCACTGAGACCAGAATAGTGCACATGGACCAAAATATTGCACAGAGCAAGGAAGGACTAAGATATTACACATGGGATGGCCCATCCTTGTCAGATGCCCGAACCACCTCAGCTGGCTCCTTTCGATGTGGAGCAGCAGCTGCTCTACTCTGAGCCCCTCCCGGATGGCCGAACTTCTCACCCTATCTCTAAGGGAGAGGCCAGCCACCCTTCGGAGGAAGCTCATTTCTGCCGCTTGTATCCGCGATCTCGTTCTTTCGGTCACTACCCACAGCTCGTGGCCATAGGTGAGGGTAGGGACGTAGATCGACCGGTAAATTGAGAGCTTCGCTTTTACACTCAGCTCCCTCTTCACCACGACGGACCGGTGCAGCGTCCGCATTACTGCAGCTGCAGCCCCAATCCGTCTGTCGATCTCCGGCTCCCTTCTCCCATCACTCGCGAACAAGACCCCGAGATACTTGAACTCCTCCACTTGGGGCAGGAACTCATCCCCGACCCGGAGTGGGCACTCCACCCTTTTCCGGCTGAGAACCATGGCCTCAGATTTGGAGGTGCTGATCCTCATTCCCGCTGCTTCACACTCGGCTGCGAACCGTTCCAGTGCGAGCTGGAGGCCCTCACCCGATGAAGCCAACAGAACCACATCATCCGCAAAAATCAGAGATGAGATTCTGAGGCCACCAAAGCGAAAGCCCTCCGCCACTTGGCTGCGCCTAGAAATCCTGTCCATAAAAATTATGAACAGAACCGGAGACAAAGGGCAGCCCTGGCGGAGCCCATCACCCACCGGGAACGAGTCCGACTTATTGCCGGCAATGCGAACCAAGCTCTTGCAACGGTTGTATAGGGATCGAATGGCCCGTAGCAATGGGCCAGACACCCCATACTCCCGCAACACCTCCCACAGGACACCCCGAGGGACACGGTCGAATGCCTTCTCCAAGTCCACAAAACACATGTAGACTGGTTGGGCAAACTCCCATGCACCCTCAAGTATCCTCGAGAGGATAAAGAGCTGGTCCAGTGTTCCGCGACCAGGACGAAAACCGCATTGTTCCTCCTGTATCCGAGGTTCGACTAGCGGACGAACTCTCCTTTCCAGCACCCTGGCATAGACTTTCCCCGGGAGGCTGAGGAGTGTGATCCCCCTGTAGTTGGAACACACCCTCCGGCAATAATTTCTGGCAATAATTGAAATGATAAAAGAAAATTAACAAGATATTTAAGCCATATAATTCATCATTTCATTAAGTGGTATTATGTTATTATATTGGGGGGGTTATATTGGCTGGATCTTTGGCTCAACAGAGCTCTGACTTTTTGTCAGCCTGGCTACAGAGCTGAAGAGAAACCTGGGGTTGTTCTTATTTTCTTCAATCAGTGACGAATAGTAAGATGTTCTGGCTTTGCAGAGGGCTTTCTTATAAAGCAGCAAACTATTTCTCCAGGCTAAATGATGATCTTCTAAATTTGTGACACACCATTTCCTCTCCAGCTAACCTGGAGACCTAAGGTCTGCAAACCCGAGAACGAACCGGCGATAGTAGCCAGCCAGCCCCAAGAACCGTCTCACCTCCTTTTTTGTTTTGGGGCGTGGGCAGGATGCGAACGCTGCTGTCTTCTTCACCTGTGGATGCACCTGCCTACAAGTGGTTGCTTAGAATAAATGCTTGTGTGAATAGGTGTGATTGGGTTAATAAAAAAAGTTGTGTAGACGGTACCCTAAATACTGCACCTCATTTGATCCAACTGCACTCTTCTTTGGGTTGGCTGCGGGCACTGCTGACAGATTTAATGCCCAGTAATTCATACAGCTCCTTTAATGTGCGAGATATGAATGACGTGCCCTGGTCAGTCCATATTTCTTCGGAATACTAACTTGGTAGACGACCTGAAACAGTGCCTGTGCCACACTCTTTGCAGAAATGGTGCACAGGAACACCGCATCCAGGTATCGCGTTGCATAATCTACCAGAACTAATACAAAACGATAGCTGTGTGCACTTCGTTGAAATGACCGAATGAGGTCCATACCAATGTGCTCGAATGGGGCCTCCAGGGCTGGCTGGCTAACCAGCCGACACATCCCGGGCACTATGCGCAACATTGGGATATACAGAACTATAAAACAAAGATGATCAAAAAGACAAAAAGAAAAAACTCCAACCATCCCAAAACTGAAAACCATGTAAGCTGTAGAGCCCCACAGGCTTGAATCCACCTCAAGGACTTTGACTGAAGGTCTCCTATCATTATTGTTAATTCTCAATAAAGACAAAAAAGTATGTATTCTGTTAACAGGAAGAGATAAATACATCATGTATTGACAATACTGTTTGTGTTGCTAGTGCGTTGTAATCTAAATCCTCTAAGCATGAGTCTCAACAACCACAAAAAAAGGGAAGGTATGCAGATATCTGCATTGACACTGTGCTCAATGTACAATGATGAGATTTATGTTACAGAGACCATGGACACCCACGAACATAGAAAATATAAAACGTGTTCAACACACTTAGCTGATTCTGAATTAATATCTTAAAAGCAGTTACACATAGCAAACAATGAAGTTTGTAGCAGGTTGTTTGTTTGATGCTATGACTAAGGCTATGTTCACACTGAAGGTCTTAAAGCTCAATTTTGGTCATTTTTTTTTTGTCTGGTTGTTCACACTACTAATAAAATGTGACAGCAAACGCTCTCTAGTGTGAACGGTTCACGACCCTCAAAGCAGCTGTCATGAGTAAAAGAAGACTTCACACACAACGTGCTCTGTTCACGAAAGTAAAAATGGCAGCGACAGAGCTAGCAGGTGTTGTTGCAGCAGTCTATCAATTTCGGAACAGTCGTAACCGACAGAATTTTGACAAATTAATTAGAGAAAGAAGGACACTGAGGAAAAAGAGAGCCTGTGCTTTAACAATGTCCAGTTTCTGCCAGCATGCCGTCTTCTCCGGCGCTGATAATTGGCGTCTCTCTCTTGTGTCAGTGATGTAAAAGACGGATTTAATGCGACATGACCATTCAAACAGCAGTCGCTTTCTAAAACATCAGATATGTATCGGATTCACTACCCCATAGGAAAGTGACCCAGGTCAAATTTGAAAATATCTGATTTGTGCTGTTCAAACTGTCATACCATGATAGGATATGGGTCGCATAGGGTTAAAAAAGTTGGATTTGATGCGCTTTCGCCTGAAGTGTGAACGTAGCCTAAGACAGCTGCTTCACTTCACTTCCTCTTTACAGACAGATGTCCAACAGCAGCTCACAGCCCTACAGTTAAACTGATAGAAAACATTTTAAATACAGCTGTGCTGTGATGTTCTCCTTAGTGCTGACAAACAAAGAGATGATCTGCAAGGGGTGATGATTTGTGTATTTAGCTTAAGTCCTATTGGTTGCCTGTTTTCTACATAGATTTTCTCAGTGGGAGAAACATTTCATTCAAGTGACTTCTTCAGTCCCAGCTGACTGCAGGTTTCCAACCTTATAAACAATACATTTGCACAATGACTAAAACTAGTACCATTGAATGAACAATGGGCTGTGAGGTCAGTTTAAGATCATTGATATGGAAGTTGTCATAACAATTCTTTAAAAACCACTGATCAAAGTCCACTGATTATTTACATTTACAGAGAGTTTACAAAAATCTCACAACAGTATAAAAGTGTATTTTTAAGATATTTAAAATGCACTGTGGTGGCTTGAAACAGACTAAATCTATTTCAATATTGAAATGCTCATGGATCTAAAAACATGATGAAATGAAGAAGTTACACTAAAATGAGATGAGCAAGGTGGTAAAACAAAGCAGAACAAACAGTATTTCTAGCAGAATACAGTTACACACAAAATAAAAGATTCAGGTGGTAAAGATGTGACGCTCCTCCAGCTGTCTGTCTTCATTTTCCTGTTTGGATGCAACACACTGGATCAGTTATTTTCCATTTTATCTTTAAAATTTAAAATAGACTGTATTTTTTCTGTCTGACATTATACAAATAAATCAACATATTTATATTTTCATCTGCTGGGTTACCGGCTCTCACTGATGAGTACACAACATCTGGACCAACTGGATACTCTGTAACACAACATAGAGTAGTATAACAGATTAATTTAGTTAATTATATGTAAAAACACTTTTAAAGACTCTAAATTTAGTATTGCGGCAGATAAATTAATATTACTGAAAAATCATTTACATGTGGGTACTAGTTCATAAACTATTTTGACAAGGTTAAGATAAAGTCCATTAGCCCTTTGGAAAGAGATAATGACCATTTTCACAATGGCTAGATCAAATTCAAATTCAAATTCAAATTTTTATTTGTCACGTACACAGTCATACACAGTACGATATGTAGTGAAATGCTTGGACAACTGCTCGTGACCTAAAGAAAACAAAAAAGGAAAAGGCTATGAATAAGATAGGAAATAAATATGAAAAATTAAAAAGGGTAAATTTAACTAGTAAGAAATAAAATATAAATTAAGGTTAAAAATTAAATAACTGTACAAAACACTGGGAAAGAATAAGATAAAATATATAAATTAAATTGAAAATAAAATAACTGTACAACAAAATACACAATATAGAACTATATAAGAATGTATGAACAAAATACACAAGAAGTATAAATAAATATATACACAATAACAGCAGCAGTGATTTAAGTGATGAAGTGAAAACAATGTCCAGAAAGTCCAGTGTGTGTGTAAGAACTGTATGTGTGGGTTAGTACTGTGTGGTGGTGTGATTGTGATTGAGAGACCGTATCGCCTGCGGGAAGAAGCTCCTCCTCAGTCTCTCTGTGTTGGTCTTCAGGGAGCGGAATCGCTTTCCTGACCTCAACAGAGAGAACAGTCTGTTGTTGGGATGGCTGAGGTCCTTCACGATCTTCCTGGCCTTGGTCCAGCACCGCCTGCTGTAGACTGAGTGCAGGTCAGGGAGCTCGGAGCGGATGGTGCGCTCAGCTGACCGCACAACCCTCTGTAGAGCTCGTCTGTCCTGCATGGTGCTGTTCCCGAACCAGGTTAAGATGTTTCCTGTCAGGATGCTCTCTATGGTGCACGAGTAAAAGTTCCTGAGCACCTTGGAGGGCAGTTGGAAGTCTCTCAAGCGTCTGAGGTGGTAGAGACGCTGACGGGCCTTTTTCACCACGGAGTTGATGTGACAGGACCATGACAGGTCCTGCGTGATGTGAACTCCGAGGTATTTGAAGCTGTCCACTCTCTTCACTGGGCACTCGTTGATGACGGGGGTCTGGTAGTTCCTCTCCTGCTTAGTGCTGAAGTCCACTATCAGCTCCTTTGTCTTACTGACGTTTAGAAGGAGGTTGTTCCTCTGGCACCAGTTCTCCAGATTCCTAGTCTCCTTCAGGTAGGCCGTCTCGTTGTTATCAGAGATCAGGCCCACCACGACGGTGTCGTCAGCAAACTTGATGATGGTGGTGGAGCTGGTAGTGGCCACGCAGTCATATGTGTACAGAGAGTACAGCAGGGGGCTCAGAACACACCCTGGGGGGCTCCAGTGCTGAGAGTGGTGGAGGCTGAGACATGTCCGCCCATCCTTACTGCCTGTGGTCTGCCAGTTAGGAAGTTGGAGATCCACTGACACATAGATGAGCTGAGTCCCAGATGCTCCAGCTTGGTGGTGAGTGTGGAGGGAATTATGGTGTTAAATGCAGAGCTGTAGTCTATGAAGAGCATTTTAACATAATTCCCCCTTCTAATGTCCAAGTGAGTGAGTGATGTGTGGAGGAGATGAGAGATGGCATCGTCTGTGGAACGATTTGGACGGTAAGCGAACTGTAGTGGGTCCAGTGTGTCTGGTAGTGAAGAAATGATGAAGTCTCTGACCAGGCGTTCAAAACACTTCATCACTACTGAGGTGAGGGCTACAGGGCGATAGTGATTGAGAGAAGCAGGGTGGGGTTTCTTTGGGACGGGAACAATCATGGACTCTTTGAAGCATGTGGGGATCACCGACTGAGATAAAGAGATGTTGAATATCTCAGTGAACACAGGAGCTAGCTGGTATGCGCAGTCTCTTAGGATACGACCTGGGATGCCGTCTGGTCCTGCTGCTTTCCTGGTGTTCACTCTCTTGAAGGCTCTCCTTACAATGCTCGGAGATGACGAGCACGTTTCCGGTGCTGGCAGTATCTTCCTGTCTGCAGCCGTTAGCGCCGCTAGCACTAGCATCGTTGGAGTCCTTAGCTGCAGCCTCGAAGCGAGCATAGAAAGTGTTCAGCTCGTCTGCCAGAGTCACGGCCGCGTTCGTCATACCGGTCGTTGGTGCTTTATAGTCCGTTATTGTCCTTAGTCCCCGCCACAGGCTCCTAGAGTCACTCTGTTGGAGTTGTGACTCTAGTTTCCTCCCGTAGCGCTGCTTCGCCTCTTTCACCACCCTCCGCACGTTATATGACGCGGCTTTGTACGGTTCCATGTCCCCCGTCATGAGTCCCGTGTTGTAGGCAGCGGTGCGGGATCTCAGAGCGTCGCGGATGGTTTTATCCACCCACGGCTTCTGGTTGGGAAACGTTGTGATAGTCTTTGTCTCCACGGTATCATCCGCTAGTTTCCCGATGAATCCCACAACCGCTTCCGTAAACACGTTGACATCATCATCGGAGCTGTTTCTGAACATGCCCCAGTCTGCGTCATCGAGTGCGTCCTGTAACGCGGCCACTGATTGATCAGTCCAGCGCGCGACCTTCCTCTGAACCGGAACTTCCTGTTTCAGCCTTTGTTTGTATTTTGGCATGAGGAAGATGGCGACGTGATCAGATTTGCCAAACGGAGGGCGGGATTGTGCCTTGTAGCCGTCCTTGACCATAGTGTAGCAGTGGTCCAGTGTCCTTTCACCTCTGGTGGGGCAGGTGATGTGTTGATAAAAGTTCGGCGCTGCGCGTTTGAGGTTGGCGCTATTAAAGTCCCCCGTCACAATAAGCGCAGCGTCCCGGTGTTGTGTCTGGTGCTGTGTGAGTGCCTCATGCAGCTCGCATAAGGTGGTGACCGTGTCCGCTTGTGGTGGAATATAAATGGCACTTACAATGACCGATGTAAATTCCCGAAGTAGATAAAAAGGACGACACATGATGGACAGTAGTTCCAGATTTGGTGTGCAGGAGCGTGTGACAGGAACAACGTTCGCACTGTTGCACCAGTTGTTGTTCACCATTAAACACACGCCGCCTCCCCTTGACTTCCCCAAGTCCCGTGTCCTGTCCATGCGGTGAACCGAGAAGAACTCGGCCGGCTGGATGGCGTGGTCCGACACCGCTGGGTTCAGCCATGTCTCGGTGAAGCAGAGGAGATTGCAGTCCCGAATGTCTCTCTGGAACTTTATCCTGGCCCTGAGGTCGTCAAGCTTGTTCTCCAGTGACTGGACGTTGGCGAGCAGGATGCTAGGCAGAGGTGTGCGGTGTGCACGAGCTCTCAGCCTGTTCCTGACGCTGGCTCGCTTCCCTCTAGGCCACCGCCGCTTCCCTTTGTTCTCCCTCAAGATCTCACTCGGCCAGCTCGGATCCGGAGTTAAAAACTTCGAATTGTGAGTACATTGTATACCAATAGAAACAAGAGTGTCACTGTCATACCTAATGTACCCAATGGTGATGATTTTGCCGATTTAGAAACGCTGAAAACTAACTTAAAAAGCAAAGACAAAGAAAAAGTGGTCGGAGCAGTCGTGACGGCAGCCGACCTCACCGGCGCCATCTTTTCGACTAAAGTTTAGACTTTAGATGACTAAAGTTGCCTTTTTAATGATCTCAGTGTCCAATCTTGTATGTTCTAACATGTTGAAATTTACATTAGAAAAGTCTGACTTTTTTGTAATTAGCTAAAAAAAATTAGTAGCACCATTTGAGTCACACTCCTGGACAGAGTCCTTACACTCCTCACTCGTTAAGTGGTTACCACCTGTGGCCCCAGATATCTTGTTGCTCAGGTTATAGAAAGGTTTGTGTACTATTCAGGAGGTTGGTGATATGATCACCAAATCCTGCATCTATATGAAATGATGATTGCACTGAAAGGGCGATCATGGCTCAAGAGTTGGTAGTTTGTCTTGTAATCGGAAGGTTGCCGGTTCGAGCCCCGGCTTGGACAGTCTCGGTCGTTGTGTCCTTGGGCAAGACACTTCACCCGTTGCCTACTGGTGGTGGTCAGAGGGCCCGGTGGCGCCAGTGTCCGGCAGCCTCGCCTCTGTCAGTGCGCCCCAGGGTGGCTGTGGCTACAATGTAGCTCCCATCACCAGTGAGTGAATGTGTGTGTGAATGGGTGGATGACTGAATGTAGTGTAAAGCGCTTTGGGGTCCTTGGAGACTAAGTAAAGCGCTATACAAATACAGGCCATTTACCATTAAAGAAGTGAAGCACCACATCAATCTCCATGAAAACACCCCATTTCAACACAAAGCAAGACCTATTCACACACTATTCCACAGGACATAGAACTTTTTGTAAACACCTTTGAGAGCTTCTGGATGCTGGTGTTATCAGAGTCGGAATCCTTATTTTCATCACCAATACATCAAAGCCGACCACGGGCACCAAGCAGGCATCAACAGGATCAAGGAAACGCCGAGACACAAACAATCAAGAGAAGCAAAAAGTTCACATTTTTCTGGGGAGCCAGAGATTGATGAGTCCAGTGTTATAGTGAGATACCAAGTCATTTGTGGAAGCCGAAGTAGCTATGGTTGGTAGATTATTAATTCCAAGGGGAAGAACTGAAAAATCAATTCTCTCAATATTTTTAAAAGTAATAGAGTGTATTTGATGATCTTTGTACAGCGGTAGACTAACAGCTGATAAAACTTATTTATGATCTGAAACTGGCATGTCCAGTGAAGTACAGTTCATTGGGGTGACACCAGGATAACCGATAACATCTATAACATGTCGTTTGGAGTTTGTGGGGACATGCATATATTGGTCTGAGCCAAAATTATCCGGACAGGATAAAAAAGTCTTTTTTGAAGGAACTTGATGTGCTGTCCATATGGATTTTAACATCTCCCGGCTCAATTATATTGAGAGATAAAATTGTAACAAGAAAATCCAAAAAACGTTAAA